GTTCCATTGGGCTGTAAGTAATTCAGTACTTTCATCGAAACATTAATTTAACGTTATATAGGTAAAGTGCTATATAATCCCCCCCCCCAACAAAAACGAATTTTATTATTTTAAATCGCCACATTCTTGTGCTTTTCGTCAGTGGCTCCCATAATTCTAAGGTAACAGACATACTCATAGACATAGCAGGAAATTGAAGATATGAAATGTGTTAACATTTTTCTGGGCCTTTCTGGTACCTTTCGTTTTGGGCCTAACGTTTTGTAATTGTCTCCGTGCCCAGTATGTGGAAATAACACCGGACATATATGGAAGCACACAAAGTGACACACCCAACCTTCGTCCAGGAAGGTTCTAGAATCTTCATTACCTGTGTGGATGGTGCGCGGTGTACATATTCATGTTGTATAAAAAGTCCCCCGCACAGGTGACTCATTTGTTGCGCAGTTGTTGTTTTTTTCGTTCAGTACATAGCTGGTATATCGGCCACTCTAGAGTACGTGACGAGATCTCGTCTATGTACTTACTTCGACTCTGTCGGTCCTCGTATCGGCCACTGTCGCTGTGCTTTGGCGTGAGTAGAGAATTTTACGTTCATAAGCTATTATGTTACATTGTACATCATGATAGAAATATCACTGTTTTGTGTCGTGACCAGTTGATTTAGCTAGGAAGGTGGTGAGGTGGTCTTGTGCGTGTGGTTAGGGCTGTTGACTCCCTGGTAGGCCCCTGTGCTGTGCCCTTTTGAAAGACAATTTACACCTATTTGCTCACCGTCGACTAAAGTGAAAATGAGTATCTGGCTTCGATTAGCCGAAGGTCCCGTTTTGCTAGGGTCCCCAACTTGGGCACATTAAAGATCCCATCACACACTAACATGGCCTTTGCTGGAGTAAAGATGGAGTAAGGATGGAGTAAAGCTAGGATTCTACCACTGCTGTCGTTGTTCTGTCTGTGTTGTAGGATAGTGATTTGGTGCTTTTTAGCTTGAAAACTGAATGTCATTGTGTTGGTATATTAATCACGTTACTAGATAGTACTGCTAAGTCATGTCACGGATCACGGTGAGTAGACGTAATGTTTTCAACTTTTAGTTTCACAGCATTCACAGACATCAACAGGTATTCATCTTCAGGTAAATTCTCCCTGGTTTGCCACATTTCTAGGAAGTATGTGACCAAAGCTTGACAACAACCTATCGTATTCTTTTTTAATTCGTATATGCGTATAACGAGGTATATATAAGCTTTCGAAACTTGCTGAAGGATAGAAATTGTGCGATTGTTTATGAATTAACTTCTTTAGAGGAGTAAAAAAATGTTGCTCGGAACAGAATTTTTGCAATCCAATACTCCAACCTACATGAACGTGAGCAAATGGAGGATGTCATGAGGACCTGGCCTTTTCTGATAGGTTCTGAAATGAATATTTATCTGGCCACGTTTCTCACACGTTTCAATCTTAGTAGTGTTCATACGAATTTCATTATTGTAAATTGCCACATTCTTGTGCTTTTCGCCACTGGCTTCCATAATTTTAAGGTAACAGACATACTCGTAGACATAGCAGATAATTGAAGATATGAAATGTGATAACATTTTTCTGGGCCTTTGTAGTACCTTTCTTGGGCCTAACGTTTTGTAATTGTCTCCGTGCCCAGTATGTGGAAATAACACCGGACATATATGGTAGCACACAAAGTGACACACCCAACCTTCGTCCAGGAAGGTTCTAGAATCTTCATTACCTGTGTGGATGGTGCGCGGTGTTGCAACACAAATGTACATATTCGTGATGCATAAAAAGTCCCCGCACGGGGGCTTCCCCTAACTCTTTTGTTGCGCAGGTTTTTTTTTTCGTTCAGTACATATCTGGTGTGATCGGCCACTGTCGCTGTGCTTTGGCGTGAGTAGAGAATTTTACGTTCATAAGCTATTATGTTACATTGTACATCATGATAGAAATATCACTGTTTTGTGTCGTGACCAGTTGATTTAGCTAGGAAGGTGGTGAGGTGGTCTTGTGCGTGTGGTTAGGGCTGTTGACTCCCTGGTAGGCCCCTGTTTTGTGCCCTTGTGAAAGGCAATTTACAGCTATTTCCTCACTCGACTAAGGTAGAAATGAGTACCTGGCTTCAATTAGGGATGTCCTCTCGAATAGGACGTAAAGCCGGAGGGCCCGTTTTGATAGGGTCCCCAACTTGAGCACATTAAAGATCCCACCACACTTAACATTGCCTTTGCTGAAGGATGATGTAAAGATAAGATTCTTCCACTACCCCGTTGTTCTGTCTGTGTTGTACTTGTAGGATAGCTATTTTAGCTTGAAAACTGAAAGTCATTGCTTTCCCTGTTGTGCTGGTATATCAATAACGTTACTAGATACAACTAAACCATGTCTAAGTGGTAGTCAGTACCTCTCTGTGTCTGAAGAACCAGAAGACTAACAGAGCCGGACCTCGGGTCTAGATCGTATGCGCAGACTACAAATGTATAGGTCCCTGTCGCATGTAACCATACTGTGACCTTATTTGTTTGGAACGGAATATGAAGAAACCAACCTAAACCAAGTTGCCTCTTCTGCGAACTTCAACATAAACAGAATAATTTCTGTCCATAGAATATTTCAAATTACTGTCCTATCTCCGGCCACAGTCTACTCTAGTAGAAATGAGAAGAAGTTTTTTTTTAATCTGTGAAGCTCAATAAATAAAATAAAAATAGTACATGCAGCCATAATAAAAGTATTATGGCGGATGGCACTATATTGCGTGGCTTGATGTACAGCTCTTTGGCAGACAAATAAATGGCCCTTCATACCTGACCGAACACGTAGCGTGATAGTGAGAGGATAAGACACCGCAATAAATTATTCATATCAGTATACATAAACCATAGCTATTGAGCACATAGGCAATCCCATATATTATTATCGCGATGAAATTGGTTAAAGACATGCTCATAACAGGAAATTGAAGACACGAAATGTCTACCTTCAACGTTGTGATACCTTCTCATTTCTGCAGAATATCTGGTTTAATTCGCACTGCAATGTCAGCACACTCAACACGAATGTTATTTCTCATTGGTTCAACTTCTACCTGATAATGATTGAAATATGATAATGATACAATCTTGTCTGTTATCACCGTGTCACTAGTCCTATCCATCTTTTTGCTTATTGGACAGGAATTTGCTTGGTAAAACGTCTTTCCGTCAAACTGTTTGTGTGATATTCGTTTACATGACAGTTCTATCATTTAACGACGGTATGCAAATAGCGCATGTCTAGTAATAGGCGCAAATTTTAGGCTGCGATGTCTTTGAAATAAATTATCTATCTTCATTGTATCAGTAATGAACTTACGGTTAGTTTGTTGACCACGCGGTACTTATAGGTTAATGCTCTCATGACTATTGATATCTGCAGCTGTAATGACAAAGATAAGCAACTGTCATGAAGTGGAATCATGAGCAATCGTGCCCTTGTTAGTTTCTACATCGAAAGTTAGAGGTTCCTCGACGTATACTTAAGGGACTTGTATTTTCTTGGGAATTGAATCATGACCATTGCCTTTCATGACCTATGCTGAAGGTCTGAGTAAAGCTAAGTGGGAGTCAGCACCTCAATTACCCTAAAGGCCGAGGGCTTGAACCAGCCGTGTTGTAACGGAACTCAGGCCCATGTTCTAGAGCGCAGATCCTGTTTTACTGTGTTGTGCTGTATCTGAAAAATGATGCAAGGATATACATGTTGTTCTCATCAGGAAATTTTGCCCATGTGCACAATCTAGATGTGTATTCTTTGTCCACTCACTGACAGGTTCGGCCTTATTTGATTCAACCTCTATACTGTCAATCATGTTGGCGTTGTTTCTGGTTTCGGTTTTGTTTTTGTCATTTCGACTGTCAACTCTTGTATTGCTCTAATGTTATTTGGCGACCCTGAGACAATAGCCTGGGTACCATCCTGGTTAGTTTACGTCCGCTCCCACAGTCGCTACCGACCAG